GACCGTGACCTTGGCTTTGCCAGATTTGCCCGTTTGGAGTGGAGAGGGACCCCAGGGCATACCACCCGCAGAGTGATTTCATATGTGAAGACTCGACGCATGGTCGAGAAGGGGTGTTTAGCTTATCTGGCGTATGTTCGTGATTCCAGCGCAGAGGTCCCTTCTATTGATTCTGTTCCTATTGTTCGGGAGTTTCCCGAGGTTTTCCCTTCAGACCTGCCGGGTATGCCGCCCGACAGGAATATTGATATTTGTATTGATCTGGCTCCGGGCACTCAGCCCATTTCTATCCCGCCGTATCGCATGGCCCCGCCAGAGCTGAAGGAGTTAAAGGACCAGTTGCAGGATTTGCTAGAGAAGGGTTTTATCAGACCTAGTATTTCTCCTTGGGGTGCGTCGGTGTTATTTGTGAAGAAAAAGGATGGTTCGATGAGGATGTGCATTGATTACCGACAGTTGAACAAGGTAACAATTAAGAACAAGTATCCACTGCCGAGGATTGACGATTTGTTCGACCAGCTTCAGGGTGCGAAGGTGTTTTCAAAGATAGACTTGAGATCTGGCTACCATCAGCTGAGGATTAGGGCGTCTGATGTCCCTAAGACAGCATTCCACACTCGGTATGGGCATTATGAGTTTTTGGTCATGTCATTTGGGTTGACCAATGCCCCAGCAGCATTTATGGAGTTGATGAACCGAGTGTTCAGNNCCAGCCGCTAGAACTAATATCAGCCGCTAGCCACAAATTACAGCATGATTTATAGCCAAACTATTAAAAGGCTAGCTACCGATTCAACTATCATGGAAACACACTGTCGCTGCCATCAACCCTTCTCTCTCTCTCTCTCTCTCTCACACTCACTCACACACACATTCTCTCTCTATTTTCCTTCCTTTCTCTTTCAACCTAGCTCTATATATCTATATGTGCATGGATTGAATCAAATTGATACATGTATAGAGATTTGGGGGGTTTGAAATTAGGGATTGGGAGAAAGGGGGAAGAAAAATGGGTCCGCGATCGAAGTGAGAGGGGGAAAGATGGGAGAAAGAGGACTCGAATTTCATCAATGGTTATGAGTTTTCTTCATTTGAAGCCCCTTTTATTTTCTTCCAAAATTTTCATTTGCTGGCTGAAAATGAAATTGGAGATACTTTGAAGCTAAGAAATCCTAGATTTTGAGAGAAGAGCAAGGAACTATGTGTGTGTGTGTGTATAGAGAGAGAGAATCGGGTAGACGAAGATAATTAGGGTTTCGGCTATAATAGAGAAAGAGGAAAGTGGGAGAGAGGACACAAAGAGAAGGTTTTGTTATTGTTAGATCTTTTCTTTGTCATCCTTGTTCTTGTTTTCTTAAAAGTCAATTAGTTTTCTTTGGCAGTTAATTATACTCCATTATTTACCTCTTTAATTATTCACTAGAGTAAAAACTTAAAATGAGAAGAAGAGGAGATGAAAACAAGTGATCTGCATTTTTTTCCCTCTCAATATTACTATATTAGCAATAAACAGTTTATATTTTCATCTTGTTGGGTTGTGTTTGATGCAAAATAGACTGTCACTGTACAAAATAGACTGTCATTATACAAAAATATACTAAATAGACTGTCACTATACAAAATATATATAAAATAGACAATCACTATACAAAATAGATTGTCATTATACAATTTATATACAATAGACTGTCACTATACAAAAAATATACAAAATAGACTATCACTATACAACAAATATACAAAATAGACTGTCTCTATACAAAAAATATACAAAATAGACTTTCACTGTACAATTTATATACAATAGAGTGTCACTATACAAAAATTATACAAAATAGACTATGACTATACAAAAATATACTAAATAGACTGTCATTATACAACATTATATAAAAATAGATTGTCACTATACAAAAAATATATAAAATAGACTGTCACTATACAAAAAATATACAAAATAGACATTTCGGGCTATTAGATGTAATATGTTTGGGCCGAAGGGCCATTTTGTGTAAGTGGAAAAAAATGGGCTATTAAAATTTTGAGGGGCTATAGAGGGTAGTTTTCTCTTCTTTAGAAGCTACCTTTAAGTTTCCAGCCCAAAATACTATAAACGTTGGGCGAAAAGATCCTGCTAACAGCTCGTTTGGATGGTTGTTACATATCGTTTCATAATGTATCGTATTGTATTGTATTGTACTGTATCGTTTGATGAATACAATGTTTGGATGGATTATGTCGTTTTGTTGTCGTTTCATGGTATCACGCACTAGTAATATGATAAATAAACTTGGAATATTATTAAAAAAAAAATTATAATACGGTATATAAAAAGGTAGGGTAAATGGTAAAATAAAATTATTTAATAATAGTGAAGGGTGAGATTGAGAGAAAAAGACAAGGTAACGACGCGACCACACCAAATCGGTCGTTACATAAAGTGGTACATTTCATCATTACGTAATAACGGTTTTAACGATACGATACAATAAAATTTAAGTAACAATCAAAACAAACATTGTATTTAAAGTAACAATACTATACAATACAATAGGCAACAATCACCCAAACAAGCTGTAATGGTATACAGTTAGACCTATGTATAACAATAGAGGCAGAAGTAGAGTATTGAGTATAGGTTCGGCCGAACCCAATATCTTTTGTTTAAATCCTGTATTTGTATTAAAAAATTCATCAAATAAGTATAATATCTAATTGTGAATCCAGTAACTAAGACGAGCTATGTGTTTAATATCTAATTGTATTTGTATTAAAAAATTCATCAAATAAGTGCAATATCTAATTGTAAACCCAATAACTAATACAGGGCTTTGTGTTTAGTGGCTAGTTCAGAACCCATAAACTTCAAATTCCGACTCCGCCGTTGTATAACGACATCACTATATAACAATCATTCACTGCAAAAGGCAAGTGTTTATGGAACCAATTTTTATGCTATGTTACAATATATGTTCTTTATGACAACACTTCACTATAATAACAAAAAAAATTCGGAACAAATGAAACTAGTATAAAGAGGTTTGACTGTAGCATACTTAGTAGAAATAACTGTTTTTGTTGGGTAATTAATAATTGCATCAAGCAAAATAAACCAAAAATTAACTCGGATTAATAGTTTACTGTTAGAACTTATAACTAATGATGGACACCATTAGCCATAAAGGGGTAAATTGAATGCTTCAAATACATTATGCATCATATTATAACAAGTTTTTTTTTTTGATAATAACGGGACATATATTATAAAAAATAGAGAACGTTCAGTTTGTTACAGATAGTAGGAAAATTACCACACATTGGTGGATTGTCACATGCAATATTTTGATTGCCTAAAGTTCTAAGCATATTACAAGCATCGGTTGCTAAAGTTTTTACAAAAAGACAGGTTCCATTTTCTTCCATAGTCAGTTGTTGCTTCACAAAAAGAGGAGGTGTTGCATGGAGTTTTGGATTATGAGGAGAAAGCTACTTGTAGTTTTTTTGGTGGCTTCTTTTACAAGGAGATGCGCCACTTGGTTGCCTTCACGAAAGTTATGTCGAAGTAGAGGTCCTTCTAGTGGTGCATTAATGATCTGCATGCATAAATAAGGTTAGAATAAACTAAATGGCCCTGCTGTATTGCATTGATTGCTTCAGTTGAGTCAGTCTCCACTTCAAGAGGAAAGAGTTGGAATTTTTTTGCAATTTGGAGACCCTCGTGAATTGACTGTAACTCCGTATGAAGTGGAGAAATCGTCGTGTGCTGCATTTGGAAGCCAATGATCCACTTACCCATGTGAGTTCTGATCACTCCACCTAAACCTGATATTTTTGCACCAACTTTGCATGCACCATCAGTGTTTAGTTTATACCAATGTTTTTGAGGTGTATGTCAAGTTATATTAACAGTCATTTTTGATTGAGGTGGGCCACCCTTTGTGTTTAGGAAATTGAATTCTCTGGCTTGACCCATTAAGGTTTTCAGTATTGGAGGGAAGTTGGTGTTGTTGTAATTGTTTTTGTTCCTGTTAGTCCTAACACCCCATAAAGGAAAGGAAATAGATTACCCCATTCGACTATTGGAGACTTAGTTATGATGTTCAATTCTTTTAAATTGATCAGCCAATAGTTATATCCAATGATGTTTTGGACGCTGATGCCTAAAGATTTCCAAATATTTTCAATTTAGGGCATGTCAGGAAGATGTGTGTAATATTTTTATCTCTACGGCATATAGTACATTGTGGATCAATATTAATACCAATGTGATAAAGATACTGACGGCTAGGGACTCTACCATGGAGACATTGCCAAAGGAAGAATTTTATTTTCTTTGGGCAGTGTAACTTCCATATCCAGTCGAAGTCATGAGCCACCGGATTGGTGTTATTGATTAACTGGTAGCAACTTTTGGTGGTGAAGTGCCCGTTGTTATTAAGGCTCCAAAGAGGTTTGTCAGAATTCCCATCACTACAACATTTTAGGTCTTTAACTACACCTGAAAAGCGTGACTTAAACTACCAAAAGTGTGGCATTTGACCAAATGCCACACTTTCGGACCTAAGGCAACGCTGTTTGAGGGGTGGCCTAAATGAGCGTAACCTTTTCCCTAAGACAACGCTTTTTTAGTGTTGCTTTAGAAGCCACACTTGAAAAATGTGGCTAAAATTAATAAAGGCCACGCCTGTAGTTCCCTCTATGGTAACACTTTTCGGCACTATAACAACACATGAAAAATGTGGCCTTTGTTACTCTTTAGATCACGCTTGAAAGCGTTGCTTTTGCTAGTATATAAGCCACAAATTTTCCATTCCCTTGCTAGTATATAAGCCACAAATTTTCCAATCCCTATGGCCACACATTTGAAGTGTGGCAATTGTGTCTAAGCTATGAAGTAATTAGTTTTCAATAAAATATATTTTTGTATATATCCCATAATCACGTACGAAGATTTCAAACACTCAATTATGTACAAAAAAATAACAAAAGAATAATTCCAATGCATATACTTGCAATGAAATTCCAAAAAAAAAAATTAAATCTTGTGTAATACAATGAAGAAAATTAGTTCAAGGTTCATGCTTGTAACTTTACAAAATCAATTGTAGTATCAGGAATTACAAAAATCGTAATTGTCATCGTTAAATTCCAATAGATCAAATAGTCTTTTGGCACCATTTTTAATTATCCACCAGAACTTTCCTACAAAATAAAATTAGTAATTAGATAGAAATCCATAGTATGTAACTGCAAACTCAGAGTAGTGTGGTAGAGTTGGCCCCTTAGGGACTCAGGACAATACCATCACATATAAGTAAGAGATATACATATACACGACTTAAACAAATGACAAAAGTGGAGGAAAATCTATATATGTTGTAGTGTTGAGATGAAAATATAATCGGATGATTCGAGTAACAGAACATATGGACAAAAATCATGCTTTATTGGCCTTCCTCATTTGTTTTCTTAACATCTAGTTATATTCTCTCTGTAGTATGATTATGTTGCTTCCTTTCGTTTAATTCATATATGCGGATGGAAAAACTAGATTAGTGGATTTCTTTTTCAAAAGGAACATTAACTTTAGCATATAGCATATACTCAATCAGATCACTTTCAATTAAGCTAGGAATAACTAAATACAAACACCTTACCCAAGTCAAGGATGTTGTTAGCTAGAATTTGATATTTCCAGTCTGCTATCTAATTAATAGTTTTTGAGATAGAAATGTAATCTACTAGTGAGTACCTCTTACAGGTGACTATAATCACTTAGCTATCATTGATATCTTAGAATCTTGCAAGAAATTAAAAACTGTATAGAGAGATAATTAAAAACTTCCATCAGACAATTTGCTAACTCAATTTTACCCTCAAGCAATATCGGTCTCGACATTTTAAATACCTATCATAACAAAATCATATAGCTCTCTATTCACTTAAAAGCCGAGCTAAACAAAGGGAAGGGAGGGCATTTAAATTGTTTTGTGTGATTCAAAGTGAGTGAAAAAGATATACTTGTTGGGAAGTGAATACCTTTATTCACTTGAGATCCTCTTTCAATTCATAATTGTTGGGGTTACCAGAAAAAAACTCATTTTGAGATATCTGAAATTAACTCTCAAACAACAAGATTTGTATTTGTGATGACCCAAAAGGTCATCACTTGATTTACGAGTCAATTCTGTGTTCCGAGGCCTCAAAAATCTCCTTTTATCTCACCATGATTTGCGTGCGCAGTCCGGGCGCATTTTCGAAAAGCTTTTCTGTGAAATTTTAGAAAAATAATGAAATTGGCCTTTAAAATTGATTAAAGTTGACTTTGGTCAATATTTTTGGTAAACGGACCCGAACCCGTGATCCGACGGTCCCGTATGGTTCGTAGTAAAATATGGGACTTGGGCGTATGCCCGGAATCGAATTTCGAGGTCCCAAGCCCGATAAAAGAATTTTTAAAGAAAATTGTTTGCTGGAAAATATAAAGGCTTTTTAGAAGTGAATTGATGAAATTCTTGATGGTATCGGGCCCGTACCTTGGTTCCGGAGCCCGGTACAAGTTTAAAATAATAATTAAGTTGAATCTGTGAAATTTGGTAAAGATCAGAATTGATTTGGTATAAATCGGACGTATAGATGAGAAAATAGAAATTTTGATGTTCTTGAGTAATTTTATGAATTTGAGGTTTAATTTATGGTTGTCGATGTTATTTTGATGATTTGATCACACGAGCAAGTCTGTATGATGTTTTTGGACTTGCGTGCATGTTTGGTTTGGAGCCCCGAGGGCTCGGGTGAGTTTCGGATAGGCCACAGAGTGAAATTGGACTTAGGAAAGATTGCTGGTATCTGGTATTTTTGCCCAGGCCTGTGATATCGCAATTGTGAGACCAGGCTTCGCAATTGCGAAGTTCTTAGGCTTGGGAATTGCGACCCATGCGTCGCAAATGCGAACCAATCCTGGGCAGGCCTTGATCGCAAATGCGACCCTTTTGATCGCAAATGCGAAAGGGGAAGAGTCGCAAATGCGACTAGTTCTTCGCAAATGCGAAGACAACAGGTTCCAAAGGGGTTCACAATTGCGAACCTTGATCACAATTGCGACAATGAGACCTGCTAAATGAAATTTTGACGGGATTTTCCCTATTTTCCAAACTCTTCAAACCCTAAAACATCTTGGGCGATTTTTCAAAGGCACATACTCTTCCAAATCATTAGTAAGTCATTTCTAACTCATTTCTTTCAATCTAATCCATATTTTTACATGATTTCATTTCAAAATCAAGGGTAATTCATGGGAAATTGGGTGATTTTGGGTAGAACTTAGGATTTTCAAATTTTGGGGATTTGGACCTCGATTTGAGGTTCGATTTCAAAACAAATTATATATTTGAGTTCGTGGGTGAATGGGTAATCAGGTTTGGTTCGAACCTCGTTTTGACCAAGTGGGCCGGGGTCGTTTTTTGATTTTTTTTTTTTGGGGAAATTGATAGAAAACCTATAATTTAGTATTGGGATTGAATTCTTTAGCATTTGTTGATGTTGTTAAATCAATTTGGGTAAGATACAAGTAAATTGGAGGCGAATTCTAAAGGAAAAGCGGTGTTTGAGGCTTGAGTTGGCCGTGGAAGTTCGAGGTAAGTGTTTGGTCTAACCTTAGCTTGAGGGAATAGGTGTTGTGCTTTATTTGCTATGTGCTAGTGTAGTGTACGGCGTATAGGTATGGTGACGAGTATCTATACGTTGGTGTCAAACATGCCCGTGAGTCTTAAATTGTGATCGTTGCGTTTCTTAATAAGTACTACGTATGCCTAAATTGTTGATTATCCACGTTGAGTAAGATTTATGATTTTCTTCTTGGTATTTGGTTATGGTTGAGCATTGGCTCTAGTTGAAGTTCACTTGTGAAGTTGATTATTGGTACAAGTTTGGTTATAGCTGATTCCCTTGCCGGGACGTATTTAATTCTTATTGTTGATTCCCTTGCTGGGACGTATTTATACTTATTGTTGAATCCCGACAAGGATATTGTTGTTGCCATTGTTTGGGTGAGGAAAGAGAGATAAAGCACGGAGGGTGATGCCGTGCACATTTATACTTATGCATATGGTGAGGAAAGAGTGATAAAGCACGAAGGGTGATGCCGTGTACATTTACATTGATATTGATCATATGATGAGGAAGAGTGATAAAGCACGAAGGGTGATGCCGTGCACATTTCTAATATTTATATGGTGAGGAAGAGAGATAAAGCACGAAGGGTGATGTCGTGCACATTTTCATTACTTGATTGCATTGGTGAGGATTGAGAGTAAAAGCACGAAGGGTGATGCCGTGCACTTAATGCCTATTTGTTATGATTTCTTGCCGTTTTTGGTTCAAATACCTTAATTGTCTTATTCCACTATTACTGTCATTCTTATGTTGGTCTTTCCCCCATAGCAAGTTACCCCTCCCCCGTTACTTTTGAATTACTTCTGTTACTGTTATTCTGTTAGATACTGTGTACTGCAGGTTAATTATTTGTTCTGTCCTAGCCTCGTCACTACTTCGCCGAGGTTAGGCTCGACACTTACCAGCACATGGGGTCAGTTGTGCTGATACTATACTTTGCACTCTTTTGTGCAGATCCCGGTACTGGAGCATACAGACCTTAGCTAGGGGTTGCTGCCTTCAGTCCATCGGAGACCCGAGGTAGTCCTGCAGGCGTCCGCAGGCCTTGGCGTCCCCTTCATATCTAGTTTATTTATGTTCTTTTCTATTTCAGAGACAGACATGTACTTTCTTGTTCAGACCCTATTTGTAGTATTCTTAGATAGTCCGTGAGATTGTGACACCAGTTCTGGGTGGTTTATGTTTATAGATTCGTATTGGTATTAGCTAAACTGTTAAATTTCGTTCTGCCGCATCATTATTTCCGCTGCTTATTATATGCTAACTTGAAATTGTTAAGAGATTAAAAATGAAAAGGGTAAATTAACCGGAATAGTTGGCTTGCCTAGCTTTCTCTAGTAGGCGCCATCACGACTCTCGAGGGTGAAAAATCCGGGTCGTGACTGTATTTGTGTACTTCCCATTCTAGCAAACAGAAAATAAGATAGTAAGTCAAAGAAGACAAATCTAAATTTAACTCCTCAGTTGAACTTAAAGGAAGATCTTAAGCGGAGATAATACACAATATAGACCAAATCAACAATAGAAATATGCAAGTTTCATATGTCAAGAGATAAAGAATTAAGGAGAAAGATGACAAATTGTGTATTATGCTTAACTAATCGATATACTGCAGAACATTTCCTTTCGAAAAATGGCACGCCCAAAGTTTGATTACATGGTCAATATATATTTTCTATTAACTAATTCTCCTACAACATTTTTAAGGAGAGCAGGAAGTTAATAGCTAAAAAGTCAGTTTACCCAGCTTTACCTACCAAACATGCCAGTGAATAATGCCTTAACATACCTCTGAAGTACCTCTATCCTTTTTCTTTACCTTCCTCATTTTTGCTCTACGTTGATCTTATTTGAGAACATGAAGAATCCTTCGTTCACTCCAGTGTCCACATGTATAACCTATACCAAAGCAAGCAAGAACTGCATTGATGCAAACTACAATACAGTCACAAGTAGGACAATATCTTTAAAATTTGATATTTCAACCACAAAGTTAAAGTCTTAATAACATCAGAACTAAATATTGTGTTAGCATAAAAAAATAAATAGTATGTGTCGATTGATATGCCAAATTGATCTACCTAACTCACATATTGCCATGTTTATTCAATATCAAACTAGAGCCTCAGTCTTAGCTTCAGTAGCTATACAATTAATAATAAGAGAGAGAGAACAAGAATTAATTACTGGACAATAGAATGTCAGAACAAGAATTTGTACCCAGATTGTATAAACGTAAAAAGTTATCTCCTCCGAAAATACAAGTGAAGGTCATCCCTCCCCCTTATGGGCTAGAGAACGTCATATAACTAAATCCCATTTACAATAAAGAAAACCAAATCCCATTGTAATTGAAGTATATCTTCATCACTATCTCGTATTTTCATCACTAATGCATAAAGCTTCATGAAAAAAGTACCATATCTTCTTGAACATCTTTTAATTATCAAACCGTATAAATAGCAAAATATTTTAGTTTCAACTACCAAGACTCAATGTATGCGATTAAGTCATAAGCATTTATACGTTTATGCTACAAAAATTTTATGTCAAACTTAAGTAGAAAACTTAGACTAACATTTTGAACTCCACAACTGGGAAGTAACACTATAATGCTTCAATTGCAAAACAAAAACATACAAAGCACTGAAGAAAGTAATTTGACAACAAAAGAACATAATAATAATTGTACTATGGAATGAAGAAACTAGCAAGATGTGGCGGACATGAAAATTGTGGCGCACGTACAAACTAACAAGTTATGAAAACATATAAGCATATAAGAAAAGGCAAACCAAATAGGTCCAGATATTTTCATCTCATGAAAATACCTTCTTAATGCTCCAGTTCCTTTTCAAACACTTATTATTGCTTTCTGTCCATCAATATTTGATACTAAATTTATGCTTCCTACTAAGTCTTTCAAATTCTTACTATTTATCCAACTAATTTCACTTCGTTAATTGGCTTCAAAACCAAAATGATTTCAACCGTAAGGATAGGTCAGACAAACATTCCATCAAACACAAAAGAAATTATGCAAATAGGCAAAGCTAGTATAGAAATGTTTAAGATCTAAACACAAGTACGTTTAAACTTAAGACTAGTACTATGAAACAAACCCGAATGAAATATGTATTTGAACTTTGATACTATTGAAATTTTCTTTTTCCTCGTTGAATTTCACTTAAGCAAATATTGGCATATATAAGAGCACATTTCAGAAAGAAAATGAGACGTCGCTGCAAATTTTAGGGTGGAGGGAAATTCGGCACAGGATATGGTAGTTTCTATGGAGATTACGGCGGAGGTGGGCAAAACAGAAAACCTAATGAACTGATGTCATTAGGAGAGAAACTGTTTGCACTTTCAAAATGGGGGGAAATGAATTTGACGGGAAATTTTAAAGGCAGGGGGAATTTTATTGAATTTCTTTAGCGCACACTTGTGAAGTGTTGCTTTTAGAATTACGAATACAGCTCACTTTAAAAGCGTCGCAATATAAATGAATAAGTGTTGCCAATTAATTTATGTTTGGCAACACTTAAGTTGCGTTGTCTTTCAATTTTAAAAAAAAACGCTTTGCCAGCGTGGCCATAAAATGTGTTGCCGAAAGCTATCAGCAAAGGCCACCCTTGAAAAGTGTTCCCACGTATTATAGTTTTGGAAATACTTTTTAAACGTTGTCAAAAGTTAGTGTGCCCTTGGTCCAGATTTGTTGTAGTGCATGTTTAAAGGGTTAAGGAATGCCTTTAATATTATATTGTTTACCACTGTAGACGGCAGTTGGAAGGAAATTCTTGAAAAAGACCATTTGCCATTGTGGTAGATATTTTTAACTTGAACATTGTTCATATTCTTGGAGGAGGCCCTCAATACAATTTCTTAAGGAGTTTTTTCCTACGTTTATAATTGTTTACAAGTTAACTTGGTCCGTTGTCTATGCGGACGCCATGCAGCTCATATATATAACAAAAAAATTTCAATTATTGTGTGGATTGGAATGACAATACCACCTTAGTACTTTGTTTGGTTAGTAGACCAGGTATAAGTTATCCCGATGTTAATTTTGACACTGGGATAACTTATATCTTATAGAAGGTGGGGTAATTAGCACCGGTATAACTTATACCTTCTTCTTAGAAATTATGCAATTGTCATTCTTAATACAACATACCAAACAATGAATAAAGAACAATCCGAGCATAACTAATTCCAGCATAATTTATCCCAATATAACTTATACCGGCATAACTTATACCGGTATAAATCATATTCCAACCAAACTGACCCCTAAGTCCATAACTAATGCATTGCATGCAATAAGTTTTGTGTAGCTGATATTGTTTCATGATCTTCGATAGGAATATTTAGCCGAGTTCTTATACATGCAGTGACTAATATATATGAAGAAAACAAGAAACATTGATGCATTCAGAAAAATTAGTTGGCCATGGACCCTTTGGTCGACTTGGGCAGCGGGAGAGTAGAAGCTATGGGTTCGGCTGAACCTAGTAGTTTTATTCTAAATTATGTAGTTGTTTTAAGAAATTTATTAAACATGTACAAATTACGAATTTAGAATCCAATAACTTAAAAAGATTTAGAATTTGAATCCATAAGCTTCAAATTCTGACCCCGACTCCGTTTGTCGAGACCATGCTCCTCGTTCTTACTTTCTTGAGTTGCAATGCTTGTTGTCTCATCCCCTAAATTCTTTTGTTTTGCCAAGTACTGTTGCTTGGTTTACAGCATTAACAAAAATAATTTCTGTATCATTCAGCATATAGTTGTACAATGTCTGGATTTGTTGTATAACAAAAAATAATCTCGTAACTCATAAATGCACCTCTTGGTTGGTCATTAAACCCTACAATATGTTAATATCCACATTAGTTATGTGATTGTGTGTTATTTTATGTATGATAAAAGTGAAATAAGACTAGCTAATACATGTATTGTTGCAATACATGGCAAGAATAACAGAACACTAGAAAACAAAAGATATAGCATTCCTCACTGTATAACTATCGTCACATTCTTATTTACCACATGAACATCACCACATTATTTATTATTCTTCGAAAGAAAACTCACTACATTTTTATTCATCGTATAAATAATATTACTATACGTCAACCAAATCATCTCTGAGTACTGGTGGCAAAATGGTTAAAAAAAAATAGTTATCTACCCATATTATTCATTAAAAAAGACTTGGATAATGAACTTTTTAAAAACAGGTCAAATATGTATAAAAACCATAGTATCCACTTAGAAAATGGATAACTAATGGGTTTAATTTTTACATTTGTAAAACATCAAATTAGGAATTCCTCAAGTTTGTAAGTTTAGAAATTCTCCAAAAAGTGATCATATTCAAGAAATTATGGATAATATAGATATCTATATTATCCGCCGGTTAACCCGTTTTTTATCCATATTAAATATGAACCTGGTCAGATAGTTTATCCATTTTTTGCATGATTCATTTACGGTCCGCTCATATCCGACCCGTTTGACACCCTATCTCTGAGTACGAACAAGTAGTTAATTAGGTAGCAGCATGATAATTTTTTTTATTTTTTTATTTTGCATGATGATAGCTGTTAGAGTATTAAAGTTTCTATATGATAAGGTTGGAGTACGTCCGTGAAATCCTTTGGTTCTCCGTATTCCAAGGACTTTGCTGGTTTTTGAATCTATTACCCTATTTACTACTACTTCCTACTTCCTTTTCTATCTCCTTTCTTGATTGATTACTTTTCTTCACTTCACTACTTTGTCTCTTTGTTTTATCATTTCTTTTTAAACTTTTGCTATCTATTTTTTGTATTTTTCACATGTTGCTTTTCAATTGTGATAATCCCATGAAACTTCTTACCAATTGGTGCCTTACTTATTCTTAACGATTCTGATTTAATACACTCTAACTTCTCTATAATATTGTCGTTCGTCCGTATATTTTTTTAGTTGTTATAGCGTAATGCTCTTATAGAAAAACATTTATTATATAGTATAATATAAGATGAAAAATCAGTTTAATAAAAAACTTAATAGTTACGTGAAATGTTCTTGTAAAGAATGATTATTATAGAAATTTTTTACTGTATTTTGACGCTCACGTTGGTTGTCACGCTATTAATTAACTATGTTGAATTCCAAGCTGGTCTAATCTCCCAAGGTTACATGAAGAATAGTGCTAGTGCCTAGTGCAGTGAAGCAACTCTACTTAGAGAAAACTATTTACATCACCAGAAAAATATATATATTTTTAGTTTGGTTATTATAATATATTTCAAGAGTTCGGTGCCAAGCTACCCTTTTTTAGCAAAATTGAAACACATCCAACAACTTTAATTCTTTTGTGTTGGAACAACATTATTAGTTAATCTTTATGTTGCATTAAACATGTTACCAAAACTCCATGTGATTTAAACGTGGGATTTTATTTAGTATTTCCTTGGAGGGATAGAGGAAAATGTCATCGACAAAAGCAACATACTATCTACTATGTGGTTTCATTACCTTACCATTTTTATACTATCGAAGTTTCTTAACACATGCACAGCTGCCCCACAAACCTGATTAAAAGAAACATTTTTTAAAGAAGAAATGGTTAAGTTGTCTTTAAAAGAGCTAGGTAGGCAAAAGTAACATGGCATTAGCAAAAAACATGACTTTCATGTGTATCAAAAAATATAAATATACCTTACGAAGCTTCGTTTTTATTTATTTAATGAAGGTTTGTATCTAAATCATTCAAATTAAATAAATTAAATACCTTTATTATTTTCTTTACAATCAAGTATTTTACACTTAATAAGTTTGAATGATTATATCTTATGCATGTGGAGGTGGTTATTACCACTAATCTATCCATCATATAAACACACAACTACAACTACTAATCTCCAATGCACAACCACCACCACCACCACCACCAGCCATTTTCATCGCCAATCACCACTAAGTACATGCATAATCACCACCTCTGATCGCCATCACGCAATTAAGCACTAGTTATGTCCATCATTATCAACCACCATCACTAACTGGTTACCATCATATAACCACCAAATCTCGTTGCACAACCACCACCTCCACCAACTGCAATCATCACAACGACCACCTCACAACTAATCATCGCTGATAACCGCCATTTATGGGTGAAGGTACATTGCAGATCACCCTTCGTCGAAAAATTTGTATTAGGTTTAGAGGTATAATATATATCGAACACCCTTTGTTGGAGAATTATTTTTACTTTTTCAAGTTTGAACACTCTTGAAAAAATTTCTGCCTTCATCACTGTCGCCATTGCTAGCAAACGTGCTTAATCAAACATATAGTTTTAGCATCACCATATTAGTGTTTTAATTGAAAGATATCATCTTAACAATCAAATATGTATTCAAGTGCAAGTATCTAACTCTTAATAAACACAACTGCAGGCCTAAAACATTGAGCAGTGGTAGCTTTGTCATTTCACCCGAAACTGGAAATTGCCAAAGAGCTAAACTGCTAACTGTCTTTCGGCGAGAAGAGTGGGGCCTATTTTCTCATTTTCTTGTATGTTTATATCCCATATTCTCTAACCAATTTCTTTATCAGAACATGGGCTTGCCTTCCACAAAGAGGCCATTTCCTGGCCCACTTCTATTTCTTTTTCTAATCTTTCTTTCTTTTCAAATTGTTAATGACAAAATATTACTAATGAAAATTAAAAAAAAAACAAAACAAAGTACACTACTCTTAGAACTTTAAGTACCTAAGAATGAGCTAGCAAATTTAGCAACCAAAAAAAAAGAGCTAGAGAGGAAAGAAAAAAAGTTAGAGAACAACGATAAAATTGTCTTCGTGTGACCTATATAAGCCACAGGTTCGACTAGGGGTGTTCATAAAAATCCGAAAAACCGAACCAAACCGAAAACCAAACCAAACCAACAAAAAAAACTGATACTTTTTGGTTTGGTTTGGTTTTGGTTTTAATCAGAAAAAAACCGAAAAAACCGAACCAAACCGACTATAGGAGTAGCTATTTCAAATTTATTATTACACCTATATATATNTTACCTTGAACTGGCCAAATAGGGGTAGTTCGTAAAAATACCGAAAAACCGAACCAAATCGAAATACAACTAAACCGACCCAAAAACGATACTTTTGGTTGGTTTGGTTTTGGTTTTGAATTTTAAAAATCGATCAAGTTTGGTTTGGTTTTGGTTTTAATCAGAAAAACACCGAAAAAAATCGAACCAAACCGACAATAGGAGTAGCTATTTCAAATTTATTATTATATCTATATATATGTATATTTTTATACAAAGTTTCAAAATTCTTATGGTAAATGTTAATAGTTTGCACTTTTAGTATAGTTCTTTACCTTTACATTCTAGTTTGATTGGTAGTTTTCTTTTGTTAAGTGTA